AAATATAAGAAACCAATACGCCGCTGGCATGTTTATATAAAATTAGAGAAAACATTACGCCGCTGGAACTTTGAAATAAAGTTTAAGAATGCATTACGCCGCTGGCACTGTGAAATGAAATTTATGAAAGCAATACGATGCTGGCACTTTGAAATAAAATTCGAAAGAGCAATACGCCGCTGGCATTTTGTAATAAAATTGAAGAAAGGATTACGCTGCTAGCATTGTAAAATGAAATTAAAGAAAGCATTACGCCGCTGGCAGTGTTAAATGAAATTTATGAGAGGAATACGCTGCTGGCATTTTGATAAAAAATTTAAGAAAGCATTACGCCGCTGGCACTTTAAAATAAAATTAATGAAAGCATAACGCCGCTGGCACTGTGAAATGAAAATTAAGAAAGCAATACGCCGCTGGTATTTTTATATAAAATTTAAGAAAGTATTACGCCGCTGACACTTTGAAATAAAATTAAAGAAAGCATTACGCCGCTGGCACTGTGGAATGAAATTTAAGAAAGCAATACGACGCTGCCACTTTGAATTAAAAATTAAGGAAATCATTACGTCACTGGCACAGTGAAATGAAATTTAAGAAGCAATACACCCCTGGCACTGTGAAATAAAATTTGAAATAGCAATACACTGCTGGCATTTTGATATAAAATTAAAGAAAGCATTACGCCGCTGGCACTATGAAATGAAATTTAAGGAAGCAATACGATGCTGGCACTTTGAAATAAAATTCGAAAGAGCAATACGCCGCTGGCATTTTGTAATAAAATTGAAGAAATGATTACGCTGCTAGCATTGTGAAATGAAATTTAAGAAAGCATTACGCCGCTGGCACTGTCAAATGGAATTAAAGAAAGCATTACGCTCCTGTCACTGTGAAATAAAATTTAAGAAAGCAATACGACGGTGGCACTTTGAATTAAAATTAAGGAAAGCATTACGTCACTGGCACAGTGAAATGAAATTTACGAAGCAATACACCCCTGGCACTGAAATGAAATTTGAAATAGCAATACACTGCTGGCATTTTGAAATAAAGTTTAAGAATGCATTACGCCGCTGGCACTATGAAATTAAATTTAAGGAAGCAATACGATGCTGGCACTTTGAATTAAAATTAAGGTGTTACATCCGGTGTCCCTCTACATCGAACGCTTATTGCGAATAGTTAAGATCAATTGACGTGAAGGAATGCGCTCGGTAAACGATGTGGAAATCGTTCCTCGAACGAAATAATGCTAACCGCGAGTCAGCAAACGGGCGTCAGCGATGTCAGGCTGTTGCATCCGAATCGGCCATCGAACTTGTGACGTGTCCAAGACTCGGAAACCTCGTGCCTTGCGAGGATCTGTGGGGTATATAAACCCGTGGCCGCGACCACGGACGCCTTTTTTCTTTTTGCTCTTTGCATATTTGCGTATATTCTGTAGTCGCGGACAGGTTAATCTCTCGCGTTAGTCTCATTTAGGTATATGTGTATTGTATCTCCAGCTGAGTAAAGAGTTCGCGTAAGTGAGAACATACGCACTAAAGATAGAGTCACCGCGGAGTTACCTACGAAAGTCCGACGTTTAATATTCGCCAAATATTAGAGTCCCGTGTCTCGAGTGTACAACCAGACCAGATCCTCGCCACAGCCAAGCCCGGGACAACCTGACAACGCCGCCGATAGTAATAGATCAACGATTGGTATTGTTAAACCATTTTCAATAGTATAGTTTATATTCTTGTTTGTATGTAATCCCAAACTCAGTTTTGTTTCATAATTATATTTGTTAATATTCAAACTTAGTGACAATTATTATAGAATCCCAAAATTCCTTTTTTTCCAATTAAATACAGATAAGGTGAGCTTTAGCTCTTTAACCGAAGACAAGAATCCCTAAAGAAGTCCCAAACTAGTTGGGACGTAACAAAATTGGTGTCAGAAGTGGGATGCGTCTTCCTTGCTAACGAAGCGAGTTTTCCTTAGCACGAAACTTATCTGTATTCAGTTTCTAAATTTGGGAAATTTAAACGAGTTTTAGATTACATTATCATAAATAATTATCGTCACAATGACAACTCCGGAGATAAGACCACCTCCCCTACCCACTTCAACCCCGCCGATAGGACAGTCCTATGCAGGACGGTCAAGGGAATTTGAAACGACCGCGAGTGAGATTTATAGACAACGCGAAGACGAAAATAGAGTATATCGCGCTATTGACGCAGTTTCATACTTTGAACCTATGTTTCATATCATATCTAATATTCATATCTCCTACAAGAACAGGCCTCTGTATCGTATTTTCATCGCTCGTTAGTAACGACTAGTCGCCCGATACACCCGATACGATTCTCTAATTCAGCCGCAATGAACGATGCTCTTCGATCGTGCGAAAGGGGACGAGAAACCTTGCAGGCTTTCCTCGCTGAACATCCAGAATTAGAAAACGAGTCTGAGGAAAATTTGGAACAAGCACCTCCACCGCGTCCTCTCACACCGCTTTCAGAGGAACAGCTCGCTGAACACGAAGCATATGATTTGGGAGAATATAAAATCAGCTACCCTTCCCCTGACGAACGATTAGATAATATCATGGACAAACTGGAAATAGATCATCTAGACAACGCGGCACGCAATCTGGTAATAAAGGCAGTAGAGGAATTTTCCGACAGATTTTTCGTACCCGGTGATCCATTCGAAAAAACTGAGACAGCAACGCATTCGATACCTACAACTGATTCCGTCCCTGTATATACACGGCAATACTCATTTACACCGTTTTAAGAAGAAGAAATTAAAAAACAAATTGGCAATCTTGAAAATTTAGGAATAATCGTTCCATCAAAATCTCCTTATAATTCTCCGCTTTGGGTAGTGCCGAAGAAAGCTGACTCTGCGGGAAATAAATGCAAAGTTAACGCAAAGACAATAGAAGACAAATTTCCCATTCCACGCATTTCTGATATATTGGATCGATTAGGTAAAGCTCGATATTTTTCGGTATTCGATTTGGCAAACGGATTTCACCAGATTCCAATGGCACCAGAAGATCAAGGGAAAACGGCATTTTCCACACCAGAAGGACACTATGAATATGTTCGCATGCCGTTCGGACTGAAAAACGCCCCAGCAACATTCCAAAGGTTAATGAATCAGGCTTTACGAGGGTTAATTGGAAAGGAATTGTACGTTTACTTGGACGACGTAGTAGTATACTCTGAAACCCTAGAAGAGCACGGACGCCGTCTCAGAAGGTTCTTTGACCGACTCCGCGAACACCATCTCATCTTGCAAACTGATAAGACCGAGTTTCTCAAGGAGAGAGTCGCATATCTAGGTCATATAATATCAGCTGATGGAGTACGACCAAATCCCGAGAAAATCAGAGCAGTATCGGAATTTCCAATTCCAAAAAATAGAAAGGGCCTTAAACAATTTTTAGGACTGGTAAATTACTATAGACGCTTCATTCCTGATATGGCAAAACGCGCAAAACCACTTACGAATTTAACCAGCAGTAAGACCTCTTTCACTTGGACAGAAAGCCATCAGGCAAGCTTCGAAGACCTAAGACAAGCCCAATGCAAAGAACCAGTTTTGAAATACCCAAATTACGATGAACCATTTATAATAACGACAGACGCTTCCGATATAGCGGTCGGTGCAGTTCTAAGCCAAGGAAAAATTGGACAAGACCCGCCAATCGCATACGCATCACAAGTAATCACGCGGGCCGAACAAAATTACTCTACCACAGAGAAAGAATGTCTAGCTATTATTTATGCAGTAAAACATTTTAGGACGTACATTTATGGACGGAAATTTTTCTTCGTTACCGATCACCGCCCATTACAATGGCTATTTTCGATTAAAGACCCAACATCGTGACTCGCACGCTGGAGAATATTACTCGCTGACTACGATTATGAAATAGTTTACAAACCAGGCCGAGTGAACGCAAACGCAGACGCTTTATCGCGAAACCCAGTACCACACGCTTTTCCAATTTCTCCAAATAAGGACGATACCGCCGAAAATGTCACAGATCCCGAGACAAATCAAGAAGGAATCGGACAACGGGTTAAAATGCGGCGGGAAGAACAACCGAGACCTAATTATGTAGAACCACTAACTGTTATTGTAGAAGAAACATTCCACGATAACGATCCTCCTTCGGCGATAACACAAACGGAAAACGACCTAGAAATTGCCAAACCACAAGCAAATTCAACGTTAAAGGGTATAAACGCAATGCGGCTAGAGGAATTCGGAAACGAGAGCGACGAAGACGAAAGAACTCAAACCTGCGATCCAATTTGGCTTAGTCCGGACTTCTCTAAGGAAGAGATAGATTTCTTGAACAGTATCGATGAGAAAAAGGAGCCGGAAAATCTAGAAAGCCAGGGCGAAAACATGAGGTCAGGCAGGGATGATGCACAGAAACTAGTTACAGCACCGAAACGCGTATCTTGGTTGCTGCCTCCACCTGAGGAAGCATTGAAAGTTCCCCAATCAACGATGATCATGCCAAACACTAGCGCACTCATGGATGGAAAGAATTCCAAGTCTGATACAATGGAAACACATCAGAATTCGTCTTCAGCAGAGTTAACGTCCGAATTCGACAAATTTATGGATAAAATGAAATCACTAGCTACATTAGAAACTTTTGGCTATTCAAGCCATGGCCACCCTCCGAAACAAGGACCAAGATCACGACCACAAGCAATATGCGAAGTAACCATTTCGGAATCAACCCTTACATCTATTTCAGATAATTATGTCCATTTTATACCAGCCGATTGTATATTAACCAGTCAAATAAGTAAAACTTTCAAAGCACTCGGGTTACTTCGGGAAGCGAGCCTATTAATGAAAGATCTAATAGAAGAACAAATAATAATTGTTCCTCACGAACAAGGGAAAATCCTTAACGTCATCGGAACAAAAAGCTTCTTCCACGAGATAAACGAATCAAAATTAGAACACTTGCTAACCGTTCTCCGAACTACGATAGAGAAATTGCGAATCACCTCGTTCCGAATAGCAGCGCACGGCGAAACTTTACACCGTTTCAACGCGAATATCCTTAAATTACATTTAGAAGAAATATTCTGGAATATATCAATAAAAATTACAGTATGCACAGGGAAAATTCAAACACCTGAACAGGATCAGCGCGAGGACATTATTCGGTACTATCATGAAAGTTTAATAGGAGGACATAAGGGAGTAACGAAGACCTACCAACGGATTCGGAACCACTTCGATTGGCCGCGGATGCGACGTGATATTGAAGACTTCATACGAAACTGTCGCAGTTGTCAAGAACAAAAGCTCGTCCGCATAAAAACTCGTGAACCGATGCTTATAACGGATACACCAGCCAAACCGTTCAACAAAGTGGCTCTCGACACTGTTGGTCCTCTCCCTATGACCCCTAGTGGAAATCGGCATATTTTAACTATTCAATATCAACTATCAAAATTCTGTATGGCAATTCCATTACCGGATATTCGTGCGCTTACCGTCGCCGACGCTTTGTCGCGCTATTTCATCGCAATTCTGACCGACCGCGGGAAAAGTTTCATCAATAATTTAATGCAAGGCATAGCTCGCGTATTTAGAATAAACCACGTTACAACATCTGGTTACCGTCCCCAGACTAATGGCTCACTAGAAAGGAGCCATATCGTTCTTACCGAATATTTAAAACACTATTTGGAAAGATACGAAGACTGGGATTTGCTATTGCCCTTTGCGACCTACTCGTACAACACTTCGGTACACGAAGCGACGAACTTTACCCCGTACGAAGTAGTATTCGGTCAGTTAGCCAGGGACCCATTTACGCCGTTGTCTCGTGACGAAATTCTAACTTACCCATCATATGTACAAAATTTGGTACAGCGATTAGACGAAATTCGCTCAATAACGCGGAAAAATATAGATGACAGCAAATTACGTTCCAAATTATACTACGACCGTAGAAGTAACAAAATTAATTTCAAACCAAATGATCTCGTCTATGTGTTAAAAGAACCGCGAGTAGGAAAATTCAATTCACGCTACGAAGGTCCATTTAAAATTTGCGATATCACGGAACAAAATAATGCTATTCTAATGAAGGAAAATGGTCAAAAATTCATGAAACACTTCGATAAGCTAAAACATGCCCATTCCAAGGAAAAACCGCCTTGAAGGTATTTGGTATCGGTTAACAATAGCCGATACGGTAATAGAAAGCTTAATAAGTTAAAACTTTAACCTTGCCAACTTAAACAACAGATCTAAAATAAATAATAAAATTTATTACCACCTAATTCTAAATATGCATAACTCTGGATCACACTGTATTAATACAACGCTCGAATTCTTCATATCTCCAATGTCGGACGCGCATGCCGCCGCGTCGTCAGCACAAATATCAAATGCTTAGTACAGTAAATTCCCGAGACACCTGACCGCTGATTTCCGGCCTCATGTGGGAATCCGCTCACCCCTTCTCATGTCGCGAAACATTACCGGAAACGAAAAATTTTTTAACCTCATCCCTCACGAACTAGTTTTCGACAACCGCAACATGCCAACCCCAAAGGACGAATCCAGCCAGATGCCGGACCAAGCTGAGGAATTTTATGGACTCATGGACAAAGCTCTACCCGAGGGCTATCCTTGCGAACGTAACGATATTAAGCAATTACTATGCGTTACCACAAACAGCCTTGACACCGTGTATAGACACAACCACGACTGGGTATGCTCCAAGTGTCTCCTAGCATTGCCGGTCCGCTTCCGGGAACGGTTCTATCCGCATGGAGTACATGCTTTATGCACAAGACGGGGAGCCGATGGAATAGCCGCATGCGTCATATGCTCCAAAAATATAACATCAATCAGAGCAGCCGACACCTGTCTCGAATGTACTGCAGAGTATCGCGAACTAGCAGAAAGAGAGAAAGAAACGCTCTACAACGACGAACCTATAGACATTACAATACGTTGGCTAGAGTATATCGAGGAATCAGCGGATCCTAATTGGGAAATATCTCATGATTAAATTGGAAATATCTCACACGATTAAAGAACAACGCCTCCCCAGTAATAAACCATAACTAAGTTTCTTTTCCCTCCTTTAACATCAAACAGCTACATTGCCCATGTTCAATGACACGCGAATGCCTCGGCTGGCCACCCCAGCGGAGAGGTGGCTCCCGCCGCCTCTCCTGAACGCCCTGGGGCGAAGGGAGTGCATCCAAGGGCATGCTTGGGAGCGGTCCAACGGCACCATCGTCTGCGATGGGTGCCACTGGACCTTTACGGAGGACGAGGCACGTCAGTACAACCACGCACATGTACATCGGCTGGTACCGGAGGGCCGTCTCGCCCACGCAGCGGCTAGCTGCATGGAGTGCCGGAGGCGGGCGCTCAACCGAAGCAATGCGGACAGCTGCATACAGTGCGTCGCAGCTATTGTAGCCACTCCATGGGCCGAGCTGGCGGTGCGGCCCACAATCCACGTACACACAATCCGGACTCTTCCCCCAAGCCCTGAATAGTCTCATCATTTTTTTTTATATATAATAATTTCTACCTCACATTATTTTATATTACTACCCTTATATTATCTTTCAATTCTATATTAATTTTACTATTGTATTTATATTATAAAAATTACAGTATTCTATTGTATTATATTCATTCTTATATTATTTATATTATATTCGTTATATTATTCTTATTTTTATTTTCTATATTAAATAATTTTTAATCTATTATACCAAATTCTGTTTAAATGCCAAAAATCCTTGGAATAAATTATATGCTATTATATGCTAAAAAGAAAAAAAAAATCTCTCATTGCGTTATGTAATAAGCGTCGCGATGTAAAGGTCCACCCTTATTACACGAAACAGCCTCTCGAGACTGTTTCGTGTCTGGCGAAGGGGGTGTTACATCCGGTGTCCCTCTTCATCGAACGCTTCTTGCGAATAGTTAAGATCAATAGACGTTAAGGAATGCGCTCGGTAAACGATGTGGAAATCGTTCCTCGAACGAAATAATGCTAACCGCGAGTCAGCAAACGGGCGTCAGCGATGTCAGGCCGTTGCATCCGAATCGGCCATCGAACTTGTGACGTGTCCAAGATTCGGAAACCTCGTGCCTTGCGAGGATCTGGGGGGTATATAAACCCGTGGCCACGACCACGGACGCCTTTTTTCTTTTTGCTCTTTGCATATTTGCGTATATTCTGTATTTGCAGACAGGTTAATCTCTCGCGTTAGTCTCATTTAGGTATCGTGTATCGTATCTCCACCTGAGTAAAGAGTTCGCGTAAGTGAGAACATACGCACTAAACATAGAGTCACCACGGAGTTACCTACGAAAGTCCTACGTTTATTATTCGCCAAATATTAGAGTCCCGTGTCGCGAGTGTACAACTAGACCAGATCCTCGCCACAGCCAAGCCCGGGACAACCTGACAACGCCGCCGATAGTAATAGATCAACGATTGGTATTGTTAAACCATTTTCAATAGTATAGTTTATATTCTTGTTTGTATGTAATCCCAAACTCAGTTTTGTTTCATAATTATATTTGTTAATATTCAAACTTAGTGACAATTATTATAGAATCCCAAAATTCCTTTTTTTCCAATTAAATACAGATAAGGTGAGCTTTAGCTCTTTAACCGAAGACAAGAATCCCTAAAGAAGTCCCAAACTAGTTGGGACGTAACAAAGGAAATCATTACGTCTCTGGTACTGTGAAATGAAATTTAAGAAAGCATTACGCCGCTGGAACTGTGAAATGAAATTTAAGAAAGCAATACGACGCTGGCACTTTGAATTAAAATTAAGGAAATCATTACGTCTCTGGTACTGTGAAATAACACTTAAGAAAGCATTACGCCACTCGAACTGTGAAATGAAATTAATGAAAGCATTACGCCCCTGGCACTGTAAAATGAAATTTAAGAAAGCATTACTCCGGTGGCACTGTGGAATGAAATTTAAGAAAGCAATACGACGCTGGCACTTTCCATTAAAATTAAGGAAAGCATAACGCCGCTGGCACTGTGAAATGAAATTCAAGAAAGCAAGACGCCGCTGGCATTTTTATATAAAATTAAAGAAAGCATTACGCCGCTGGCACATTGAAATGAAATTTAAGAAAACAATACGCCGCTTGCATTTTGAAATAAAATTTAAGAAAATATTACGTCGTTGACACTTTGAAATAAAATTACAGAAAGCAATAACCCCTGGCACTGTGAAATGAAATTTAAAAAAGCACTACGCCGCTGGAACTTTAAAATGAAATTAATGAAAGCATTACGCCCCTGGCACTGTGAAATGAAATTTGAGAAAGCAATACGCTGTTGGCATTTTGAAATAAAGTTTAAGAATGCATTACGCCGCTGGCACTTCAAAATGAAGTTAATGAAAGCATTACGCCCCGGAACTGTGGAATGAAATTTAAGAACGCAATACGCCGCCGGCAACTTAAAATGAAATTTAAGAAAGCATTACGCCGCTGGCACTGTGGAATGAAATTTAAAAAAGCACTACGCCTCTGGAACTTTAGAATGAAATTAATAAAAGCATTACGCCCCTGGCACTGTGAAATGAAATTTGAGAAAGCAATACGCTGTTGGCATTTTGAAATAAAGTTTAAGAATGCATTACGCCGCTGGCACTTTAAAATGAAGTTAATGAAAGCATTACGCCCCGGAACTGTGAAATGAAATTTGAAAAAGCAACACGCTGTTGGCATTTTGAAATGAAATTTAAGAAAGCATTACTTCGGTGGCACTGTGGAATGAAATTTAAGAAAGGAATACGACGCTGGCACTTTCAATTAAAATTAAGGAAATCATTACGCCACTGGCACAGTGAAATGAAATTTAGGAAAGATATACGCCGCTGGCATTTTGATATAAAATTATAGAAAGCATTACGCCGCTGACACTGTGAAATGAAATTAAAGAAAGCAATACGCCGCTCGCATTTTGAATTAAAATTAAGGGAATAATTACGCTACTGGCAATGTGAAATGAAATTCAAGAAAGCAAGACGCCGCTGGCATTTTTATATAAAATTAAAGAAAGCATAACGCCGCTGGCACTGTGAAATGAAATTTAAGAAAGCAAGACGCCGCTAACATTTTTATATAAAATTAAAGAAAGCATTACGCCGCTGGCACATTGAAATGAAATTACAGAAAGCAATACGCCCCTGGCACTGTAAAATGAAACTTAAGAAAGCAATACGGCGCTGGCATTTTGATATTAAACTTAAGAAAGCATTACTTCGCTCGCACTGTGAAATGAAATTTAAGAAAGCAATACGCTGTTAGCATTTTGAAATAAAAGTTAAGAAAATATTACGCCGCTGACACTTTGAAATAAAATTACAGAAAGCAATACGCCCCTGGCACTGTAAAATGAAATTTAAGAAAGCAATACGGCGCTGGCATTTTGATATTAAATTTAAAAAAGCATTACTTCGCTCGCACTGTGAAATGAAATTTAAGAAAGCAATACGCTGTTGGCATTTTGAAATAAAAGTTAAGAAAGCATTACGCCGCTGGCACTGTGGAATGAAATTTAAAAAAGCACTACGCCGCTGGAACTTTAAAATAAAATTAATAAAAGCATTACGCCCCTGGCACTGTGAAATGAAATTTAAAAAAGCATTGCGCCGCCGGCACTTTGAAATAAAATTAAAGAAAGCAGTAAGCCCCTGGCACTGTGAAATGAAATTGAAGGGAGCAATACGCCGCTGGCATTTTAATATAAAATTAAAAAAAGCAATACGCCGCTGGCATTATGAAATAAAATTTAAGAACGCCATACGCCGCCGGCATTTTGAAATACAATATAAGAAAGCATTACGCCGCTGGAAGTGTGAAATGAAATTTAAGAAAGCAATAAGCAGCTAGCATTTCAAAATAAAATTAAAGAAACCATTACGCCCCTGGCACTGTGAAATGAAATTGAAGAAGGCAATACGCCGCTGGCATTTTGATACAAAATTAAAAAAAGCAATACGCCGCTAGCACTGTGAATCGAAATTTAAAAAAGCAATACAACGCTGCCACTTTGAAATAATATTTACGGACACAATATGCCGCTGGCACTGTGAAATAATATTTAAGCGATCAATACGGCGCTGGCATTTTGAAATAAAATTTAAGAAAGCATTACGCCGCTGCCACTGTGAAATGAAATTAAAGAATTCTATATGCCCCTTGAACTGTAAATTAAAATTTTAAAAAACAATACGCCGCTGGCATTTTGAAATAAAATTTAAAAAAGCATTTCGCCGCTGACACTTTGAAATAAAATTAAAGAAAGCATTACGCCGCTGGCACTGTGAAATGAAATTTAAGAAAGCAATAAGCAGCTATCATTTCGAAATAAAATGTAAGAAATCATTACGCCGCTGGCATTTTGAAAAAATATTGAAGAGAGCATTACGCCGCTGGCACTTTGAAATAATATTAAAGAAAGCATCACGCCGCTCGCAATGTGAAATGATATTTAAGAAAGCATTGCGCTGCTGGCATTTTGAAATAAAATTTAAGAAAGCATTACGCCGCTGGCACTTTGAAATAAAATTTAAGAACGAATTACGCCGCAGGCACTGTGAAATGAAATTTAAGAAAACATTACGCCGCTGGAAGTGTGAAATGAAATTTAAGAAAGCACTACACCGCTGGCACTTTGAAATAAAATTCAAGGAAGCATTACGCCGCTGTCACTCCGAAATAAAATTTAAGAAATCATTACGCCGCTGGCATTTTGATATAAAATTAAAAAAAGCAATACGCCGCTGGCACTTTGAAATAAAATTTAAGAACGAATTACGCCGCAGGCACTGTGAAATGAAATTAAAGAATTCCATACGCCCCTGGCACTGTAAATTGAAATTTAAGAAAAAAATACGCCGCTGGCATTTCAAAATAAAATTTAAAAAAGCATTGCGCCGCTGGCACTTTGAAATAAAATTAAAGACAGCATTACGCCGCTGTCACTTTGAAATAAAATTCAAGAAAACATTACGCTGCTGGCATTTTGAAAAAAAATTGAATAAAGCATCCCGCCGCTGGCACTGTAAAATGAAATTAAAGTATTCCATACGCCC